GGATGGTGACATGTCCCCACCAGCTTCTACTTAAGAAATAGATGTGCTCAGAGGACAAGACCTTCTAGCACATGTTCTGTGTTTTCCAAACGATAATGATAAACGAAGGAGTTGTTGATATTGAAACAATTTGATTAGCCACTGTCTCATGTCTATGTGCACTGTGTCATAAATCATTCTGAAAAGCTTTCAAAAAATAGTTTGATGGAATTAAATTGCTGCTGAGTTTTTAAAATGTCTTTTGATTTTTATTTACCCTTTTCGTCCAAATAAATAAATAAAAATCTAAAATAAAAAAATAAAAAATATATAATTTGAAAAATAGTGAATGGGGCCATTTTGGGGGGGGGGGGGGGGGGGAGAAAAAAAAAATAGCATAATTTTTCTATAATACAAACCCATCTCAGCAGAAATGCCATTCTTCCATAGGCTACTATGAGGTATTGGTTTCTTATCTTTACTGAGAGAAGGGACTGGTGGAACACCCTGCTTCACTCTGGGAGGAGCCAGAAATCCCATTTTGATTTTTTTTGGAAGGATGGCTAGTGGACCCACTGTTTTCTCCTGTTCCCATCCTATTGACAGAGCCACATTTGACAAAATGGTTAGGGGGGGGGGGGGATATAAAAGCATAAATGTGAAGCTTACTGTAAAAAATAATAAATTTTTGAAGTTGTAAATAAAAAGATTATTGGAGTATGTTTTAGAAAAACAATTATATTTCAGTCTTTCTACTTTAAAAAAAATTTATGTTTAATTAAATGTGTTATAATACTTTTTTGTATTTATTTGTAAAATTGACTAGCAATTTCTTGGTGAAATTGGTTTAAAAGTAAATCCTACACCATTTTTTTAAAGTGTAATTTTATAAAACACAAACACTTTAAAATATCAATTCTTCTGTTAAAACTTATGTAGTAGGCTATTTGAGCTGGAAATTCAACCATTTTTATAGTCATTTTAGGGTTACAGCATTACATTGTCATGGCAATAAAGTTGTACAATTTAATATACAAATTACTTTATACAAATGTTAGTAAGCAGTTGTTTTTCACCTTAAAATAATGTTAGCACATATATTGTTAAGTTTATGACTAGTGGCTATAGGCTACTATTGAAACGGTGAGTATTTTACTATTATGCATTGGCTCCATTCACTTTAATTGCTGTCGATTAAGCTTAATTTTACTGAACCCAAAATATTTCTTTAAAGTCACTTTATATGGCACATCTACCAAATGTATCTCTTTTAACAATTTAAAAATAATTTTAAGTTTAATCTTTAATCTGGGTCATCAACTATTCACCCAGTGAGTGAGTTATGAATGTCGGAGATCTTCTTTTCCCCCACAAAGGGGAATGATTTGATTGGCTGCCCAACATTTGGTCATTATCGGATCACTTTGTCTAGTAACAGTTTCTCCTGTATTTCACCCTGGTCTATGCAGAGGGTTATTTTTACTTTCACTGCCATAGAAATTGCCTATATTATAGCCTCCTGAATTCTGTGGAAATAATACTTGTGGGACAACTCATGCATTTTTTAGCATTATACTAATGGATGTTTGCAGAGGCCGCAGAGAGTCGTAACATTTTAAAACAACCACTTAAGAACAGAAATCACTTTGGTTTCTGTTTTGGCTGTACACTCGGTGCGTTTAAGATGACGGGATCCTAGTTGTTTTCCATCATACATTGTAGATATGTTTGTGATGCATACTTTTTGAATTGCCATTATCTTTTGCTGCTTAGTGTTTATTTGTAGACCAAACATATTAACAACAGTAGTAGTCATCTGGCATATTATTTTAATCTGATGTTGACTTAGGTTCAATTCGGTGTCATTGCCATTGTTTATTAAAACTAATGAGCTGCACAATTAATTGGAATAAGGCCAAAATTGGAAACACTTTTTACAGTGAAAAATTACTAAGTAGTAATACTATTAATATTTATTATAATATTTTTATTTTAGCATTTTTATTTTTATTTAATAATAATAATAACTTTTATTGTTACTGTTATTATTATTATTATTTTATATCCATATTGATGTATAATCACAAAGTTTTGGCCAAATTGTGCAGCCCAAACACAGCAAAAATTTAAACCTGAATTTTGTTTTTATCAGAAAAATTGCAATTAAATGTTTTTCCCCCAAATCGTGGAGCCTTTCTACAGACTTAAGTCTGTTATGTTTTGTTCATCTGTAACTATGGAGGTTATAAATTGTTATTAAAACCTCAAAGGGCTCCAATATGGACTGGTGCAGGTTATTGACTTCTGTAGTGCTACAGTAATTGAATGACTTCACAGACATTTCTTTCTATGATGCATGTTGTATTCAAAAGTGGACTAATAACTCAACAATATAATATCAATTTGTTTTCTCAGAGCACTGCAGTAATTACTTAGACAGCAGTTCAGCCCTGCTTGACGGAGTATCACTTTAATGTTTTTTAATAGCTGCAGAGAATCCAAACTGGAATTACACACACACACATTCCCACACTAACACAAGTCTTCACCAGCTCTTCAGCCCCACACACCTCGCACCCACACAGTATTCCTCTGTGAGCCTCATGACAGACTCTGCTGTCTGAATGTCAAGGACAAAATCAGAAAGCTCCGAGAGAAGGTAAAAAGACAAGTTCTCACTCTTTATGATTAGTCAGGCCCTGAGAGGATGAGGGGTTTGACATTCAAAAGATCTGCTCGTCACACTGTCTGAGTGGAATATAGGCTGGTGACATAGGCGATGCAGGGTAAAGCTATGAAGACTGCTATGTGTAGATCTTCCAATGCATATCTTATATTTTTATTCTTAAATAATTCATTTAAACATGCTCTCCATGAGCAGGGTATAAAATTGGGCCTGATATATGTATGTGTGTGTGTGTGTGTGTGTGTGTGTGTGAGAGAGAGAATGGTTTATCTTGATCAATTAAGTCAACACAACAATTTGTGTTCAAATTTCACTTTCACTTGTCATTCCGAAATTAATGCTGTAGTAATTCCATTACTTCTCAAATGTCACAAATGTAAGGAATATTACATTGGATTATGGATTATATCAAAATTATGCATTTGATTATTCCTTTAGTTACTGTTGCTCTGCTGTTACTTGAACAAAAAAATGGAGTTGCTCACTGTCTTACAATGACAGCTGTCAGTGTGAAAACCTTGTCCCAAGAAGATACATTTTGGACACAGAAGGACCACCTCTCATCGAGGAGCATGATTCATGTGGGACTTAAATATGCCATGGAGGGATATATAAAAGATTTTTTACAGAAAAAATCTTGAGTGTTTACAGATCACATGTTAGGCTGATGATACACTGGACAACTCTTTGAGCAATTTTGCCAGGCGACTTTTTTTGAGCAATGCTGCTTGGGCACTTTTCCATTGAGAATGGGTAACAGATTTCTATCTGGATACTTTAAATCGGTCGTGGGCCCCGTGTCTCACCTGGTTGCCCGTTGACAGCAACATTGGCCAAATTTGCCCAGCAACATTGCTCAAAAACATGCCCCATGTATCATCAGCCTTTCGGTCGTCACGATCGCAGATGACAAGGGTAAGATTAAATTAATTTACATTTAACTAGTTTAATATGGAGAGAGGCACTTAAATGTAGACCTTCGTTTATGTGTTTTTGACCTACACTGTACTATTTAGGTTTGTACATTAGCATGGACTCACTAACTTTAACGTTTGCTAGTTTTAGCTTAGAGATCCCTTGTTGAAGCACAAGATGACATTATCCTTCTGCTTGAGCAGTATGAGAGTATGACAATCAGAAAATGAATGTTGAATAATAAAATAAATGCCAAATTCCATTGCATATCCTTTCAGGATACCTGTTTTACAAGTCCCCCAGGCACAATCGTTTTGTTATTTTTGTAGCATAAACACCATTAAACCGATGAGAGCTTGTTGATAAGGTCAAAAACTCTGTGGTGGGACAGACCAAAATCCCCATTTTAGGTAGGAATGTTTTCTGTGTTTAGTCAAGTTAAGTCAATTTTATTTTTATACTGTAGCACTTTGCACAATACACATTGTTTTAAAACAGCTTGAAACAATGAGATGTTAATACAACTGGATACTTTTCATGCAAGCTTAATTTTATGTTAGTAACAGTCCTTTGTACAGAGAAATGTGGTATTTGTGTCTAATACATTAATAAAGTCATAGGACACCAAAGTGTGCGTCATTAGTGGAATGCGCCTAAAATAGATTTCCTGCCATTTAGAACCATACATTCAAATGGCTGCATATAGCAGTACTCACATTGCTTTTGCTAATTAATGAAGCAACTGAAGATCAAGCATAATGTAGTGTGTTTTTCACTGTCATGGCAACCTACATAAAGGATAAATACAAAACCCTGTCCTACCTACCAAAGCAAAATGTGTTAATGCGTTAATCCGCAAATTGCACTCCTTTTGTTTATTTAAAATTTGCTTTCATTTGTAAAATTATTTCAGCTCAGTTTTTCCTTTCTCACTAGTTATTAAGGTTTAGATTAGGGGTAAGGAAACTGACTTAGACCAGCAGTTACAGCAATATTCATGGTCAGGGGACAGTGAGCTTTGACCAGCATTAAGGAGAGGGAAAGATGTGAAAAGTCTGGAGCTGTTGTTTAAAGATCATCCAGAGTAAACATCTGTCTTTTGAAGAAGCGTGCCACTGCACAGTAATATTAGTGTGTAATTTATTTCCCTTCAGGGCCAGAGCACCTCATGTGTAAGGGAGGTCAACATATGGTGCTGAGCCGTGTGTGTGTGTGCATCTGCGTGTGAGAAGGAAATAACTCAAGTTGTTAAAACACAGTCGGTATTACGTAGTGAGCAAGCAGAGTGTATTTCGCGTTTGTATCAGATGAGTGCATGAGCATGTGTTCGCCCCAGTGCAGTGACTGATGTAATTTACACTGTCACAACATGAGGCCGGTCGCAAGATGACAGGGCAGAGAGGGAGAGCAAGGCATAGTGATGACTGACCTGTCAGCACTGATCATTTTGTGTCATGTGCAGCTTGGTAAGAGACGAGAACCTGTAGTGCTAGAACAGGACCTGGATGAGAGTTTCCTCTGGGTGATGGTCATATGTGTTGACCATGATTTGGCCAAGCAGGACATGTATTTGGATCAACATCAAACAAACATGGCAACTATTAAAGGAATAGTTTACACTTAAATGAAAATTTGCTGAAGATTTACTCAGCCTCAGTCCATCCAACATGTAGATGAGTTTCTTCATTGAAACAGATTTGTAGAAATTTAGCATTATATCACTTGCTCACCAGTGGATACTCTGCAGTGAATGGGTGCTGTTAGAATGAGTCAAAACAGCTAATAAAAACATCACAATAATCCACATGACTCCAGTCCATCAATTAACATCTTGTGAGGTGAAAAGCTGCAAAAGATTTGGAATGAACAAATCTTCAAGATGTTACTAAATTTAAACTGTTGCTTGCACTTAAAATATGAGTCTTCTATCAATAATATTTGTCTCTAGTGAAAACGTTGTATTTACTGAATCAGGAGATAAATATGCACAGATTAAGCACAATTTACAAGTGATAAAACTGGCCAAAACTGTTGTAAACAAATATGTTGGTATTTTTTGATGTGAGCGGACAACAGGCGATGGATTTTTTTCAGTGGAGGAAGCATTATTATGAATTATGAGTCCACTTCTGTGAATTTTAGCCAAAAGCGACATTTCAAAGTTGAAATGTTACAATGATGGATTTGTTTCTTACAATCATGCAGATTTTACAGGACAATAATTGCTGGACTGGATTAGTGTCATTTATTTGTGGATTATTGTGATGTTTTTATCAGCTGTTTGGACTCTCATTCTGACGGCACCCATTCACTACAGAGGATCTACTGGTGATCAAGTGATGTAATGCTACATTTCTCTACATCTGTTCCAATGAAGAAACCATTTCTATAACCACCCTTATATTTAGAGGGATATGATAACTAAAACCATGATTTTGTTCTAGGATCAACAAGAATGTGAAAATGTCCTGCTTGAAAAAATCATGATAAGGTCAATGGGTAGTAGAAGGATAAAAGAACCTGAGTGAGAGCAGTGGCAGACAGTAGCATCTGGAGACTCGCATGGGGCCGGTTACTATGGCAGTGAGTCTCTTAGGACATTAGGGAATATATACTCAGCAGGTTGCATCTTAGTCGAAGTAGATGCCATACTTAATTTGATTTAAATGAAAAAAGGACTGTTAAATATTCATGGTTTCATTTTATTAAGGATATGATATACAGTATGTAGCCTTCAAATGGAGTCAGAATTATCGTATTTGCGAGAAATTGTATATTTTTATTAAGTTGCAATTTCAGATGATGCCCAAATTGCCAGTGTCGGTGTGAAGCAGGGCAACGAACAAGTCTGTGGTAAATGTTAATGAATCATTTTGAAATGTATTGTCATTTTCTGTGCTGTATTTAAATAATGTTAAAGGTGCAATAGGTGATTGTCTTCAGAATTATTTTTTTTTATGCTGGTTGAAAGTCTCTTCACATCATGATAGCAATCATTAAGTTAAGTGGTCTAAATACATTTATCTGTATTTATATATTCTGTGGAAGGCGTAGGGCTAAGAAATGTTCGTCCAATCAAAACGCTCGGTCCGAGCATTTTAATTGGCTTTCCTACATGCCTGTCAAGGTATGTATTAGCATACCTCTGCGCACCCTGTTCGCGCTGACAGGATACATCATCAGCGCGTTCATGCTGTGCAGACAGAGTGAGAATGGCAGACAAACATCAACAACCCGATCTTCCTTCCTGATATTGTAGTACTTTTGAAGTTTTCTCACTGGTGAATGACACATGATGTAGCCCAGCGGTTCCCAATTCCTGTCCTCGCGCCCCCCAGCTCTGCATATTTTGCATGTCTCGCTTAGTTAACACACCCGATTCAGATAACCAGCTCGTTAGAAGTGAGCTACGTGCATGAACTGTGTTCCGATCGATATGATCCCTACACAGTGTTCATTGCTCCCTACTCTCTGAGCAGGGGAAATCCGTTGAAGTTTACGTCACTTTAGAGCATTCATTCACGGATTTGCGCTGTGCAGTGTCTTCACACACATCACATTTACACACACACACGTCTTCACATCCAGTGCGAGGACTGGAATTGGGAACCGCTGATGTAGCCTATTGTAGTAATGTTGTCTCTGGTATTCTGGTCTGTGAGCTTATATGCATTCAGGGGGCGTGACTTTAGACGGCGATTGCAGAGAGGGTGGGACGTTCACTTTCAGTGCTATCGCCTTATGTACACATTACTTATGGACAACAATTGTAAAGTTCCCTTTATGCAAAAAAAAAAAAAAAGTTAAATACCATGCATAAATGATAGAAATGAAAATGATATAAAAGTAAACATAAAAAGTAGAAGAATTAAAATTTTTTCAGAAATGCATGACATTTTGTAATTATGAATTACTGAATAATGAATGTTCAAGGTTCCCACATAGTGCATAATCTGTATTGGTGATTCACACCACACAACACTCTAATGACTGATGAAAGATCGTCTGTACCACATGACAAGGTGTTTTGTAATAAACAGATCACCCTAAATCCCAGTTTAACAATCACGTGGTGCAAGTAATTACTGATGGGTGACAGCTATGGATTATAAGATATAGCCTACAACGAACTGTCTGCAAATACAGTGCCAATGTGTTTGATTTATGAAACCAAAATGGGTGGGCATAGATTTTAGAGACGTGATGAGATGAGAAAGAAATTGAGGAGATTTTTGAGATTCATGCTCTTTTTACGGATTATTCAGTATATCCATGCGGAAGGCAGTTGATGGATGAGGGTTCTGTGTACACATATGACCAGGTTTAACCTCCCTCTCTGTCCTTCCTTTGATCCCCAAGTAATCACGGCCCTTCCTCCATCATGTTCTAGCAGCAGTTTACTTAATGAAAAAATGCTGTGATCTGTAAATGAAAAGGCTTTGGCGGGTCTCTAATCATTAATCCACGCAGGTTAATATCACACATGCCTGGGAGTCAATACAGTTTTTCCTAAGCAGAGGAAGATTGGACAAAACTTTTTATTTCAGGATTTTATTCTGAATATCCAGAATATCCAAAATATAGTGATTCCCAGCCTTTTTACATAACCCCATAGTTCACTAGCGACACTCAGACCAAAAATGTGCTCCTTTTAATCTTGATTTTAAACAGTGTATCTATTGTTTTATAATTTATACTTAGTAGGGATGTTCATTTCGGTTATTTTTCCTAACCGACAACCGACGCTCATTAACCGATTATTAACCGACAAGATTATTTTAAATTAGAATTGAAATCATTTAGAATGGATAAGTTTCTGTGACCCGTTAAAAATACTAACATTTGTTTCCTGGGGATTAATTTTACATGCGCAAAAAGCTGCAAACAACAGAACATGAGGATTCACATGGTCATCATATCACATCACGCACCTGCAGCGCTTCTGCGAGCGGCGAAAAACATAATAAAGCTAGCCTATATATATATATATATATATATATATGCTATAACAAATAAATAGGCCTATACGAGAAATATATTTTTACTTAAATAATAAATTAAGAAAATGAAAGAAAAACTGTGCAACAAGTCTATGCAGAGTTTCGGTTAATTTTTTTTGCTGCGCGAAAAGAAACAGACGGCAGAAATTGTGGCAACCTATTTTTCTTTAGGCTTTTTTTACAAAATCACAAAGATTTGTTTTTATTGTGAATGTACACAAATAAAGGCAAACCTTTTACAATTCCGATTATCTTTATGACTAAAAGGAGTATTTGCTTCCACTGTTAGAAGGAAAAAATTGTGCGCGCGCACACAGTTAAGCATTGCTACCTTGACAATGCAGCCTGTTCATTATAATAATAAAATACAGTCAGTCAAACATATGGGGAAAAAACACTGCTCAGTTAAAATCTGTGCCGTTAAGTGTTATCACCGTACCGCCGTGATGTTATGCAAAACATTTAGTTTTACGTGGATATTGGAACGCAAGTGAAGTAGGCTACATAATAAATAATAATTTGCCATTCAAATACATCACGAATACGGAAACATTTGATTTTGTGTCGAATGAGAGACCCAACGTTGGTTTCAGTTTCATTTTAGCCTAAATTAATTTGTTTTGGCTTGTTGTTTATATTGCTATAGTCTAGCTTCTTATATTCTTAATTCTTGTTCTTTTCTAAATACGGTTAATTGAAAGGCTTTGTTGTGGAGTGAGGGGAACTAAAATAGCCTAGCTATGTTTACAGTGTTTATTATAATGTTTGTAAACATTTCACATCGGCATTAGGTCTATTTCTGAATGAAATAATAAAATGCGACTTGTACGCGACATGTTTTTTTTTCCTCTAAAAAAACTAAATTTTTTATACGCATAGAGTATTTTAACCATGCAGCAAACCTTTTAAAATATTTTGATAAATTACTGAGAAAAAAAAATAAATAAATGACTTTTAAACCATTTAACTGATTGTTTTAATCGGTTATAATTCTTACGGTTGGTTAACGGTTAACTGGTTAAAATGAACATACCTAATTCTTAGTAACTAATCAAACAGTAGCTAATCAAATATTCTTACTAGAGCCTGATCGATATGATATGAGCCTGTCGCCGATATATCGGTATCGGCGAATATGCTGCCGATATGACATTTTTTTTACAGAACATATAACGCAGATAAAATGCATGAAATGGTGTAATTACTTAGTTTGTCCAGCAGAGCGCGCTCCATTGTTTGCTACTGGCGACCTGGATGAAATGCTTTAAAGCTTAAGTCTATGGAAAACCCTGTCGTCGCCGATAGCCTCGTGGGCAGCGCGTCGACATGTAGCGCTTCGGGTGTCCCGTGTTTGAGTCCCGGCTCGTGGACCTTTCCCGATCCCATCCCCCCTCTCTCTCCCACTTCGCTTCCTGTCTCACTACTATCAATAAAAGGCAAAAAACGCCAAAAAAAAGCTATACGAGAAATATATTTTTACTTAAATAATAAATTAAGAAAATGAAAGAAAAACTGTGCAACAAGTCTATGCAGAGTTTCGGTTAATTTTTTTTGCTGCGCGAAAAG